GAAAGAGATGACATTTTGAATTTAAAGGTTCTGGCAACACAGGTGGAAAAGTAGGTCTGCAGGTGAGAAGTCAAAGCTATAGATTTAGAACTGGATGTCATACACACAGAGGTTATAGCAAATGGTAACACCACTAATGGTCGGTAAGTTGACATAAAGGATATTTTCTGAGAATAGAACTTTGAGGATTACCTTGGGGGTAGGGCCAGGAAAGGTACAGAATGAACTCTCAGAGGAACGATGAGAACCAGGAATATAGTTACTCAGAAGTAAACAAAGAGTTTCAGGAATGGATAATCAACACTGTCAAATACATAAAGAGGTCATAGATTTGACTAAGCTATGTTTGGAAATTTATACCAGTTCAAACTAAGACATATGACGACCTAAGGAGTTTGTAAACTTTATCTTCTTCAGATTATTGCACTATTCTTATAGCCTGCTGAAGAGCAAATAAGCTAAATTCAAGTGTCGCTCCGGAAAAAACACCTATGAATAAGTTCCTCAAGTACACACCACACTAATTCTTTGTATTTCCCATAGAATATATGTCTCTTGTAGCTCTAAGATTCCGTACTTTTTCAGTCATGGAGGAGGGGATGAGACTGTTGAGAATGAACACTTTACCCATTCTGCCTTGTTTAGTAAGAGGAGTTAGAAGTGGCTGACACTTCTGGTTACCTACCTGCGTGTCTCACACACACACACACACGCGTGCGTGATGTGTATGTATACATACACGAAAATATGTATTACATGTATATAGATATAGAGATTATCTACTCACACACATATATACATATGCTACTGAATTATGTAATTCACCCATGGGGAAGGCGAAGGTCAAGTAGTAATTATAATCACAAAAAAAATCACTAAGAAGTCTTTTAAAAAGCCAGTTTCCTTGATGCACTTAAATGTTTAACTAATCATTAACTACAGTTAATATAGGGAAGGCAGAGCAACAAAGCCCAAACATTAGCACATAACTCAAGTACAATCAAACTCAAAGTAGTACCTCTAAAATTGTCATGAACATATTTATTTGGATACATCTAATTTTTTTCATCCAGGAAAGTGAGATTTAAGAATGAAATTGGATCTTATCTATTCTCATTACTCTTCAGAATTGGAGGTAGAATCCCGTAGCAACGGCAGTTCTGGCTTTTTTCCCCTGGTCGGGACAGGTGATTTTAGTCTGTGTCAATTGCTCCCAGCATAAAAACTCACTTTGCCCATGCAGTTCAGCAACTATTCTGTAACGTGCCTCGATGACTTGTCTGTAGTCACATATCCAGCATATATCTTCCTTACTCAGACCTTCTTGACTTTAGGCCAACTATGAGACTTCTTGCCCCTAAGTAATACTGCCCCCTCAGCCTTGAGAAAACAAATGCTACAAAACTTTTCCTCCTTTTGGTTCCCTCCATGAAAAGACATTTTTCTTACCAAAGACATCTTTTTTATTTTTTTTTTTCATTTTCTGCCTCGTAGTTAAGCTCCTTTAAGGACAGGATTTTTTCTTATCTATTTTTACATCAAATCTAATACCTTGAACACAGTAAGTACAAACTATGAAATCTAGTGAGCTCTAATACTTCAGTGAGTAGAAGAAGAACAGAACCGATAACCTCCTATACTCTCTTAAAAGCTAAAGCTCTAACTTCTTAGTAACGAACTATTTTTGATTTCCTCTAAATCCTGCCAATTCTCAGGGGAGAACAGAAAGTACAAATAATTAATAGTTGTGGATAAGACAAGAAACAGGTAGTCAGTTCTCTTTCCTACTGGTAATCTCTAAAAGGTATGGGAAAGGAGAGAAGGAAGGCTCAGTGGAAACGAGCAACTTGGAAATCGACAAGGAGTAAGGCTTTAAGAACTGACCAGCAGATGGAGAACAGCTTAAAGACTCTCAAAAGAGCCCATAACCAAACCCGACATTCAAAGAAAATAGGGCAGTTGTAACCTTCTGAAATTACCAGAGTAATTTACAACCATAATTTTAAAATAGTTAAATCTTGAAAAGATATTGTGCTCTAAATTTAGTGTATTTGAAACAATATATCCATGTAGCATTTTCAGAAAATATCTGACAAAAGCTCCTTTTGGGGGGCCAATACTAAATATTTGGTAACAAAAGAAATCCTTGGTGGTCATTTTTAAATTAGCTAAGTGCATAAACACACACACACACACACACACACACACACCCCCTACATATATATATATTTTACTATATAAATGCTATATAAAATTAATTAACTAAGCATTTATCCCAAAGATATTTAAGGATGAAACTTGAAAGGGAACAGACAAAAAATGAAAGATTTTAAATAAAAGATTTTTATAACAAACGTTTTTCATTATCAAAGATGGTAGAGCTACACATTTGAACTCTAATATTAGTCAAAATAGCTCTAAAATTTAAAGGATGAGAAAAACAGCGGGATTATATCACGTATGCACATTGCATACATGGGGGGCAGTTCTGGAGGTGACATTATTTTAGGGAAGGACACTGAGAACTTGTCAAGGAATTAATTCTCAAAAAAGGAGAAGATAGCATAGAAAATATCTTTAGCTCTTTATTACCAGCAAAATCAATAACTACCAACTGAAATGCTTCCAATTCCACAAGATTTAAGAACAATCTACACATTGATGGAAGGCATACTTGAGGAAGACTGGAGAACGAACCTTCACAAATGGTATTTTACAGTAGACCACATTTTCACAGTCAAACAAAGAGAAAACATAAGATCCCACTGTGCGTAGTGACTGGTGACTAAAAAATTATTTAAATTGTTAGAAGAAAATGCTACTTTTAAGATTCTTCTCCAACAAGACATCTTCCATGTATATGGAATGATAATTATATAACATTCCCCATAAAATGTAACCTTTTTTGATAGCCCTCCTGATTAATATAAAGTGAAGCATAAAACAAAGATACATATACTTGCCAAGGGTGTTTGCCACAACCATGGAGGATATCTAACACAAAGTCCAAATAAAAAAGGTGGTAAAGTAATGCATTCCAGATGCTCCTGCATGCAGAAGACATTATGTTCATTGCATCAAGCCCAAGAGCATTTCAATACCTAAATGAAATCAGTAATCACTTACAAAAGTTCAGCCTAACTATCCACACAAAAAACAACTAATGAATGATGAATAACCTAGTCGGTGGACAACTCTGAAAGTATGTCCATTATTACAGATTAATGGACAGGCAATGCAAATGGATAATGAGCTGGGCTCAGAATTAAAGTGGGGAGCAGGAATGATTGACTTCTGGAAATAGCACAGTTTATTTTAATTGCTCCGAGCTCATCCCTGAAATCAGCTCAACTTTTTAAAACCAATACAATTACAAAGATGGTGTATACCTGTGAACTGTGACTACATTCATTGGAAAAAAAAAGTTGAGGCTCACCCAAAGGGCAATGGAGAGTGCATGATAGGTATGAGAAGGCTGAAAAGCATTACTAATCAAGAATTATGCAGTAACAATAGTGTAAAGGATGTTGAAGAAATAATCAATAAGGAAAAAAGATAGGCTAATCACATAGCAACACAGAGATAAATGGATGATAGCTTACACATTTCATTCATCTTCACCTAATCAAGATAACGAAAGAAAATCCCTACGCAGGGTGGCACTCCCAAAAGATTTATAGGAGGACATGGTCAAGAGCAGCAAAGGATAGACATGAACATCTTATAATCTAGTCATCAGAGGAAGTTCTCAAATCAATAAGATCACAGATCCTTTGAAATATACAGAATACACAAATACACCACAAACATGTACCAAGAAAAGAGTTAATTATAATAAATTAATGGTATGGTAAATTATATATGATATTATATAACTGTATATTATAAATGGCATAAATACTTGAAGGAAAATATTAATTTTAGTTGAGTTTCAAAGGGGAGAAGTGGTTATTGAGAAGTGGGAACTGGCAAAACCATTTCATTAATTTAGGAAGGTCTATAAAAAGATAAGAGGTAGGAAAATATATGAAAAAAGCACCATACATCTTCAGCTAACACACAAATGAAGAAGGCTAAGGAAAGAAAAAGTCCAAGTCTTGCAGGGTAGGGCCACCAAAAGAATGAACTAAAGACAATGCTAGAAGTTTTCATTCAATATAAAAAGGCACAAGGGAGATACCTTAGGGTTTTAAGCTATGCAATAAAACTGGCTGTTGAGAATGACTATTTATGTAGGATTTTAAATAAACAGAGAGCTGGGAAGTCAGCAAAGACATTTCAGTAAGCTATATGTAAGGTTATCAGGATCTAGACAAAGGCTTCAGTAGAAATGAATAACAGCTGAATCTAAGAGGTATTGCAGAGGAAGAATTGTTAACTTACCAAGGGAATGAATGGAAGGACAAGAGAATAGCAAGAAATTTAAGTGACTGAAGTTCCAAGTGGGCTTAGAAGAGGAAACTGGGACTGAATGATTTCCAATTATGTTTTTGTTTATTTTTAGTAGGGAAGAGAGGTGGGGAGTGGGGGCTGGGGTGGAGAGGGTAGAGAAGGGGATGTAAAACAAATCTCCAAGTATGGCCAAGTATCTCAGATGATGCAAAATTCACAACTAAAAACATGTCAATTCTTATTTTTTAAAAGTATTATTTGCCATCCATATACAAAAGCTGGCCCAACTAACCCATCACTCTTGTTTTTCTAATGAAGTGATAGGTTTATATTGACGATTTATACCTCCTTACTCTCTTGTGACTTAAAATTTTGTTGTGATGAATACAGATACAGCCACAGCACAGAAAAAAAAAACTTTAACAATCTACCAGGGAACTGAAATGGTGTTGTCTGCACTATACCCTAACCATAAATTTATGCCTCACAACACTAAAAAAAGAGCACTATTAAAAAAAAAAAAAACCACAACAATGCTAGGATGCTGCAATTAGATGGGAATCACTACAGTAGAAGATCGAAAAGTTACATATCCAAAATCCACATACCTTTGCTGTTCCTCCCAGGATTGCACTGTGGTGGAAGAAGCGAAGGCCAGGGCTGGAAGTCAGACAAGTCAGAGGAACGTAGGGGGGCACAGGAACAGCCGCTTATCTCGTGCACAGCCAATCAGGGCGGGGTGCACACGTGCGGCCAGCCAAGGAAAGTAGCGTGGGCAAGGAGGGGACGGCACCACGCAGAAATCAGGCTATGATATGTTCAGACCAGTCTGTAGCCCATATCTAACATCTGCAAAAATACAAAATTCGCACACTGCTTGGTCCCAAGGATGGCAGATTTTTGATCTTCTACTGTATAAAATGATCCAGAATACAGTATCTCAAAATTTGCATGCAAAAATTCCTCAGTATTATCCCCTCCTCCCCTCCCTTAAAAAAAAAGATATATAAATACTGAGGCACAGAAAAAAAGACAAATTGGTCCTGCCTAAACCACCAAAAAACGTCTCCTAACATAATTATGTATTTCAAGTTACCTAATATAGGGTATCCATGATGCCTCAATTTACCTATCTATGATATGGGTACAATAGTGCTAGGGCTTGAATTCAAGAAATAGAAAAGGAATCAAGGGCCAATTTTTATCAGAGTCAACTTTTGAACAAAGAAACCTGGAATAGATATCACCCCATCCCTACAAATTCTCAGTCTTGTTATAAAGTTAGATAGCAGTCTGAGCAATCCCTGTCATATATCTAAGCTTCTGTCCTAAAGGTCTCCTGCTTTTCATAGCCAGACTCCTAGGAAAAGCTCTCCATATCCCTTGCCTCTACATCCTCACTTCCCAGTTCCAGTATTACTACTCAACTGAAACTGTGCTCTTGAAGATTAATGACAATCTCTTATTTGCAAAAGTCAATGGCCTTTTCTCTTCATCCTTTCTTACCCTTCTGCACTTGACAAAGTTGACCACCCCAACAACATCCCCCTCCCCTTTCTGGAAACTCTTTCCTTCTAAGAGTTTCAAGACATTATTTTTTTCTAGTTCTCTTTCTCCTTATCTGACTTATTCTTCTCAGTCTCTTTTTGCAAGGTCCTCATTTATGTCCCAAGTCCTAAGCATGGCTCTCCTGGGGTCCTCTTTTCTTTCTTTTCCACATTCACTGTCAATGACCTCATCAACTATCATGGATTCAAAATCATCTCTATACAGTTGAGTCCCAGATTCACATATCCAGCCCTCATCTTGCATCTGAGCTTTATCACCTAGATGCCCCACGGGTTCCCCAAACTCAACATATCTAAAATAGACACCAAACTTTCCCCTTAAATGTATTCCTTTTCCTAATTTCCCTATTTTGGTGGAGGACATCCATCTTTTCAGTGAATCAATGGTTTGTAATGTTACAGTAATCCTCTCTGGGGTCTTCCCATCACCTCATCCCATATATCCCATCTGTTGTAAAGTCTTAGCTCTTCTACCTCCACAACATTTCTCACACCCATTACCTTTTCTCTATCCATGTGATCATAACTCTAATTCAGAGTCTCATTATCTCTTGCCTGGATAATCAAAATGGCCCCCTAATTGGTCTCCATGCTTTCAGGCTTTACCTTCTCTTCAATTCATCCTCCACATGGTTGACAAATAAATATGCAAATGCATAAGTCTGTCCACATTATTTCCCCTGCTCAAAAAGCTTCAGTGGATTCCTTCTGCCTCTAGAATAAAAGACAAACTCCCGTTTGGCATTTAAAGCTCTTTACAATCTGAATCTAACCCACCTTTGCAGAATGATTTCATGCTACTTGTCCTCTGCCTCTTGGAATTTCTAGATCCCTTGATGGCTCCGCTCAAAGGCCACCTCCTACAAGAACACTTCTCCATTTCAAAATTATTTTTCATATGGTTTGTATTTACTTATCTTTGTAAATGTTGTTTCCTCCTAATAGAATCTAAGCTCCAGAAGGGCAGGAACTGTTTTTTTCCCTTGCATGTGTATTCCCAGCACCTGGCACATAGTAAGCATTAATATTTGTATTGAATTGAATCTGGATAGAAATAGTAAGAGGATTGGTTTGAAGACAGAAGTCAGTTAGCATAATCTAGGCATTTATGTACTTGAATCAGCACAATTCTAAAGTAATCTGGATATGAGACTCCACTACAACTGCCCTATAGGACATCAAAAGAAGAGAAGACTCAACTCATTCTCATACCTCTGCCATGATAAACTAATAATTCCATGAATGGCCACTTTACAGAGGCAGTAGTGAATAGCTCTAGGAAGCGAAAAAGCTTATGTGAAGGGTAGGCTAGAATGATAAGAAAACACAAAGAAAGATTAACTACAGGAGATTTAGAATGGCTCACATCTGGTACTGATTTTTTTTAGTGGATGTAACTACTTATGTTTGTAGTATTATATGGCAGGGAGATATCAAATGTACTCAGGTTTACTCATTTCTAAAAAAAACAGGTTGAACTAAGATGATCTCTAAGGTCCAACTCTAAAATTCTACCATCCTATGAAAAAGTCCACTCATTTATCTAGGACATAGATTTATTTGATTCCTTGTTTCCTCTCCTCTTCTTAGGGACATTTTCTTTTATTTAGTTATACCTCCAGCATAGCCAAGGGGGGGAAAAAAGATAAAAGATCAAATGAGTCAGTCAATTTAATGCCCATTTGCACCTATCATAAAAGGATAGATGGGAGAAGAAACTGAAACTATGAGCTAAAATTAGGCTGGGGACTTATTATCAATTTTATATTATTAGCTGTTAAAAATCAGCTAGAGACAGAGAACTGGTTTCTAGTTCCACTTCCACAAGTTGTCATATATGCCTTCTACAAGCTACAACTTTTGAGGATCTTAGTCTTCTCTTCTATATACTATCTATGCTGCCTACATCACAAGATTACTGTAAAGACCAAATAACATATTGGCTGTAAAAGCACTTTCCAAAGGGGAAAAAAATGTTACACAGGGCAGTGTAGTTAAAAGAACACTAAATGTGGAATCAGAAGATCTAAGCTATAATCTCAGTTCTGTTTCTTATTATCTATGTGACCATGGGCAAGTCACTTCCCTCTCTGGATCTAAGTTAAAATAGCTGTAGAATGAGAGGGTTTAGGTTAGATTACATGATCTTCAACTTCTTTTCCAGTTCTAAATCCTATTATTTCATGAAATGTAAAGCATTATCATTTACAGTCTTAAAAAGAGATAAATATTTTGGGTTATTTAGCATTTACTTTAGATTGCACTTCTATTTTTAGTTTTCAGAGCTTAAACAAAGAACAACTAGAATGAGTTCCTCAAGAACAAGGAACTGTATCTTCAACCCTCCTCCCTCTTTTAGAGTTGGTACACTAATGAACACACAGTTGACATTCAATTAAGTGTTTGTTGAAGAGAAGAATGTACACAAGTGAGTGAACAGTAGAGGCAAAATACAGAGGGAAAAATTGAAATTACATCATCTCCCTAGTTCTTAAGAGTTATAATGTACTACAGAGGGAGACAAGGCCTCAGATTGCAAAGAGGAAACCAAAAAGGTGGCACAGATTAGTGACAATCCTAATAAAAAAGTAAACTAATAACTATTCCACCACAACTTCTGGAGTTAAAAACCTTCCTTCCTTTCCAAGTCCAAGATAAACTGCTTAATTGTCTCAAATAATTATGAAATGTTATGATCAGCAAATTAAACCTATAATAAAATAAGCTTATTCCCCTACTCACTTCCTTGACTAGAGAACATTATAACAGTGATGAAAGAATGAGTCAAATTATTTCAGTGAGTTAAAGCTAAGGACAGATTCAGAAACTCAGAAATACTCTGCATTCACTGTATTAGAGAAATGTTGTTCAGCATCCCTATACTTCTTTAAAAAACAACCTTTTTAGATTATCTTCAAAGTCCAAGAAAAGTAAGTTTTTGCAAAACAATTTGAAACACTAAACTACTGAAGCACTGAACTATTCAATAAAGGGGGGGTGGGGCTTTCTATAATAAGAGAAATATAAGTATATTGTGCTATATTCACTCCCAATATACATTAATGGATTTGTGTATTGTCATATAACAGTTTAATAACACAATGCATACACCACATTTTAAAACATACATTTTCTTTTATAAAGCAGGTGTTAAAACTTCTATAAACTATGGCTGTGTTTGAAATAGTTTTCAGATGATAACAGCTAACATTAATATAGTACTTACTATGTGCCAGGCTGTGCTAAGTGCTTTACAATTTATCTCATTTTATCCTCACAACAACCCTGGGAGGGTGATGCTATTATCACTCCCATTTTACAGATGAGGAAACTGAGGCAAAAAGAAGTTAAGTGACTTGTCTGAGGTCACACAGCTAGTACACGTGTGAGGCCTAACTCAAACTCAGCTTTTCCAGACTCCAGGCCTCCTGTCCCTCCCCAAAATTTACATTTACCCACAGCTTCCACCTACACTCTGCTTAAAAAACAGGTAGTATAAAAAACGAAATGTCAGCTATAATTTTTTTCAACAACTTCTAATTCTATTGAACACCCAGTAATGTAGTGCAAAAAGTTGTTCCGAATTTATTTTACTGATCAATCATAAATGATTTTGTTTTTAAATGTTCTTAAAGTCTGACGATTTTGAAAAAGGGGGGCAACTTAGTGGTATTTCAGAGGACACATCTTCCCACATCGTTGCAGTTAATAAAGGAGATGAATGGAAAAACTAAACATCCTTCCCACCTTTCTTTTTGTCGTTAAAACCACTGCAATATGCCTTCTTCAAAAAGTAAAGTGACACGGAATACAACCCCGTTAGAATTGAAACTGCTTCAGTTAGAATCAGAATTAACCATTTTAACAGTGTTGTTTAGCTGAAAGTGAAAATAGGTTTTCCCAAATAATTTCAATGCACAATTAATTATATGAATACACCCATACCGTATTCAAGAAGCAGAAGAAACTTTCTGCCATCCTCCCATTAGCATTTCTTTAATAACTAAAACATTAAAATGATTAAATTTGACGTTTGACAAAACCCTACCGTCTGCCAACTTTTCATCCTTTGGACACCCCGATAACTCTACGTATCGTCTAAATGTAGCAATATCAAATTCTATAAGTGCTACATATAAGTCTCTAATTAGAAAAATCTCCCCGAGTCTGATTCCCTGTATCAATGGTGTCCTGTAACACAACGCACACACGTTTCACTTAGGAAAATGAGGTATTCTCTCCTAAAGGCTCTAAACAAATAATTGGGGTGAGCAAGAGGGCACAAGAACAGATGGAAACAAGCAAGAGACTTGTTTTTCTATCATACTTCAGATTATTGTCCAAAGCAAAGCAAGCGACTAGACAATACAACCTTTCCCCGCCCAGCCCCGACCCCCCTCTCCCCGCCGCCACTACCACCACCTCCCCGCCCCTTACAAAATAATCCATTCTCTTTCCCTCGACTAGGAAACCAACCTGCTGAACTCCAAACGCACGTCTTACAGCAGAGCATTGGCAAAAGCAAGGTGGGAAAGCTCTCCCTCTCCGGAGGGAGCAGCCCCATGGAATGGGCCCCCCAATACGCAAAAGTTTGAAGGGAACGGGGTGCAAGCCCTACAAACTGGGTGAGCACGAGAAGGAAAAGGTGGGGCTTTGGGGGGTGGGGAGGGGAATGAATTAGGGGAGCCGGGAGGGGGGGAGAGTAGTATGTGGAAACCATCACATGACACCAAAGGAGACCAGAGCCGTTGGGGCGTCCGCAGGGGAAAGGGGGGGTGTCGTTGTCATAGCAACACCCCCCCTCCCCATCCGTCCAGACTTCCAAAGAGGGAGGAAGAACTTCAAATCCCAACCGTCAGCGCACGAGCGGCTCCTTCTTAAAGAGGTACACACACCCCCCCACCCGCCCCGCCGCCGCCTCCCGCCGCACGGAGCTCAAGTGCCCCCCGCCCGCCCCTGCGCCGGGGATCCAGGGGAGGAGGCCAGAGCTTTCACCTCCGTCCCCCCCCCCACTTTCTTCTCCTTGACATTCGCTGCCTTCGGCGCCCCATCCCTGCAAGCGCCCCACGGAGCTTCCTTCCCCGCTTCTTCCTTGAACTCAGCCGAGTCCTCCCGGCCGCCCCTCCACACCCCGCCCTGGGCACGGGCGGGCGACGAGCCCCCCTCGCGTAACCTCCTCTCCTTGCCACCGACCCAAAGCCCGGAGTTTACTCTTGGCCGGCCGGCCCTCCCTCCGTATCCTCTCGGCCGGGAGCCGCTTCCTCCGCTCCCCTGCGCTGACAGGAGGAGGAGGAGCAGAAGGAAGAAGCAGAGTTTCGCCGGGGGAACGATCCCCTCACTTGTGAAGGGGGGGAGTGAAGGAAAGGGGGGTTAGTTCCGAACTAACAGTCCCCGGGAGACAACGAGGTGGTAAGGCAACGATTGCGGACGAAGACCGCCAAGCCGGGCCCCCCAGACAAAAGGAAGACCAGGAGCAGCCGCCTCCCCTCTCCCCCATTGAACTGACCCGAAACGGGGGAGATATCAACTCAAAACCCCCTCAGCTGAAACTCCTCGAGGCAGCCGCCGCGCGGAGACCGGGAGAAACCGGCCTGTGTCTCTCTTACCTACACAGTGCATGAGGCGGTGGCGCCAAGAATCGAGTTCCCGCCGGAATCCTCTCCTCTCCGCCGCGCACCGAGGGCTCCGGCACTGAGCGGCGGCGGCAGCGGCGGCGGCGGCGGCGGCAGCAGCGGCCATTCTCCCTCTTCCCTTGTCCATCTGCGTCCCGCGTCACGCGCCCTCATTTACATACGGGCGGCGCAGGCACGAGGCGGGGGCGCGAGCCCTCGGCGCGAGCCCCGGAGCGCGCGCCACTCTCTCTCCCGCTCCCTCCTCCTCCTCCCCGCCGCCGAGAGGGAGGGGGAAGAGGAGGTTAGGAGGAGGGTTGATTGACACGTGTCACTACCTTCCCCCTCCATTCTCCGTGGGAGGAGAGCCGGAGGCGGGGACAGTGGGGAGGAGGAAAGTAATTGCTCTACAGACTCCACCCCCTCCAGTCCCCCGGAGTTAACTGAGCTCTCGACTCAAACCTCGGGCTGAAGAGATCCCCCGCTTCCCCCCTCTAGGAACCGTCGTGCTAATGAAGTGGATTCACGAAGCCTTCTCCCACTCCGACCCCTCCGAGACTTCACTTCCCAGTCTTCCGTGCGCCTGAAGCGCAGCGAGCAGCTCCGCACTCGGGCTCGCTGCATGCCGGACCCTGTAGTCTGCGTGGGGGGTGGGGGGGGCACAGTCTGGGGCCACCTTTGTATCGCCAAGGAGCAGCTACTTTCGGCTCCTCGGCCTCTTCCTCCTCTGCTCGGCCGACTTAGCGTCGTCTGGGAGCCCGAGTCTTGTTTAACCGATCTATTAGGAGATTAGGGGCTGAGCTGCTTCTTGGGCGGCAGTGAAAGGTTTGGCTGAGCTCCCCGCGGAGTCGACCCTGCGAGTGGGATGTTGCCATCCATCCACGCTTTGTTTTTAAGTGATGGGTATCGCTCTGTGTTAATAGCATCCCCTCGCTTTGTAGTGAGGAGAGCGCCCGTTGGGGAGGAAGAATGGGACCATTCAGTTGTCATTAAACTAGTCACCCCCCCGCCCCCAAAGAATTTACTATTGTTGTTCGGTGTAATCCCTGAAAAACCTGGATTATGTCCGAAAATGTACATAAATGTTTAAGAAAGAGGTTGGTGATTGGGAATCATTTGCCAGAAAGTAGGTTAGGGAAGTCCATAGGTGAATGTCTAGAATTCCAAAAAAGATAGCCTTCTCAACAATAAAGATTAAAGACACAATTGAAACTCGGCCCAAAACATTTGTGGAAGAAACTTCTGGTTATTAACTTCAATTACATTTTTTGAAGCTAAGTAATTTTAGAGAAAAAATATCAAAGTAACTCAAAATTTACAGGTAAATACATTGAGAGCCTTAATGAAGCCTAGGCAAAGGGAGACATTTGGCCTCAGTCATGTAAAAAAGGTAAGGAGTATAGAAAAACATTGAAAATATCTACCATGCCAACCAGGCCGTGCTTTTAGGATGGATGAGAACACAATTTTACATCACTGATATGGATGCAAAATTAGCTAGTTATGGTGCTGAGTAAAATTTTTAAGTGGATAGTACCAAAAGTTTTATTTCCAAGTTTGGAAAAAATATCTATTGTCCCATGTAGTAGAGGGACAACTGGATTTGGAATTAGGCCTTGGGTTCAAGTTCTGGCATTCCCACATGTTAGCTTTGTAATGCCTTTGTCAAGGCCTCTTTTTCTTTATCTCTAAAATAGGAATAATATTACTTTCCCTGCTTACCTCACAGTTACTGTGAGGAAACCACTTTCTAAACTGTAAGTCACTATGTAAATGTGAACTATTATTTCCTCAGAATGCTATGAATCCCAGATACTATACTGTCATTTTTTGACAGTTTATTTTGTAGATTATCCATGCTCTTTACTTCTATCTACAATTTATTGTTTCATTAGCAATTCGAAAGGAAATACATGGAAATAAAATTTAAAACAATCTTTTAGTAAAAAGTCTCAAATGTTTTTGAGACAAGTGACATGACAGGTGAAACAACTGACTTCAGTATTTTTAAAATTCTTTTTGAATTTCAATTATGCTTTTCTCCTCTTGTCATTGGAACAGATCATGGAGAGTTGGAGCATTCCCAACAGCTTTTGGGATCTATCCAAAAAAGCTGGAAAAGGAAAAGACTCAATGGAGAATGGTAAAATACACAACTTTCCTGTTAAGGTGGAGAACATCATCATCTCACTCAGGCTCAAAACCTCAGTGTTTCCTCGATGTCAAACTTGCACTGATGACATGTAGCCAATCTGTCATTGAATCTTCTTTGTTTCTAACTTTACAATCTCTCTTGAGGATGTTCCCTTCTTTCCACCCACACAATGACCCAATCTAGTACAGACCGTCATCACCTCTTACCTGGGCTATTGCAGTAACTCCCTAATTGGTCTCTCCCTACTCCAATCTGCCCTACACTCAGCTGCCAAAGTGATTTTTCCAAAAGCACAAGTATGATCATATCATCAAACACACATACATTCACTCAGTCAACCCCAGTGGCTCCCTCTGGCCTCCAGGATCAAACACGGAATCCTCTGGACCTTTGAGCCTTTCATAGCCTGACCCCTTCTCACCCTTTTCCTCTCTTAACTCTGGTTTCTACTTCATGCATTCTCAAATCTGGCTGCCTTGGCCTGTTTGCTGTTCCTCATATGCCACACTTGCATAACTGACTCCATGTCTTGGCACTGCCTATTCCCCATGCCCAGAATGTTCTCTGTCTTTGCCTCTTTTTTTTTTTTTTTAAATGTCTGGTTTCTAAGGCTCAGTTCAAATGCCACTTTCTTCAGGAAGCCTTTTCCAGTCCCCTCCCTCTACCACCCCACCCCCAGATACTTTCTTAGTTTTTCTGCTTCTTTGAATGTTCATCATGTCACTTTATCCAACTTAAACTGTACCTTTCAAAGGCAAAGATCAAGTCTCTTGCTATTATATTAATAATATAAATATTTAAATAATGTTTTAAGACTTGCAAAGTATTTTACATATGTGGAGTCTCCCTAAAGTCTTTGAGCTTTTTAAGCTTTAATAGCTTAAATTTATTTTCAACTTTAATAGCTTAAAAGAGCTCTAAACCTTTTTTTTTTTTTTTTGGCACTTGGGGTTAAGTGACTTGCCCAAGGTCACACAGCTAGTAAGTGTCAAGTGTTTGTTCTGAGGTCAAATTTGAACTCAGGTCCTCCTGACTTCAGGGCTGGTGCTCTATTCACTGCGCCACCTAGCTACCCTGAGTGCTAAGATTTTTGAGGACACCTTGTATTATCTCACTTTTCTCCTCATAACCACCCTCTGAAATAGATACTTTTCCCCCCCAATCTGGACCTGTGATTTCATCCTTGTAGAACAGCTTTCCTAAAGAAATTCCTTCTCCCATCGAAGATCTCCAAATGTCCTCCGGCTCAGTCTTAGACTTGCCTGGGGCCCTGAGAGATCCAGGTCTTGACTTGAACAAAGTCACACAACTAGTAGGTATCACTGCAGGGATTGGCACTTAGGTGTCCTGAGTCTGAGGTTAGTCCTCTGTCTCTACCATGGTGCCTTTCATGATTATAGGTGAGGAAATCGAAGCTCGTAAAGGTGAAGAGATTTGCCTTTGGACAGTAAAATAAATAATAAATAAATAGTGTAATAAAAAGAGCCCTAGACTTGGTATCAGATTTGGTTTCAAGTCCCAGCTCCAGTACGTGTTGACTGTGTAACACTGGGCAAGACACATAAAATCTCTGTTTTGGGTTCCTCTAATACCTGTCTAGCCTATCACAAATGAAATGAGCTCCAAATGAGATAACTAGATTCAAGATCCTGTTGTAGCACCGTGTAAAAATCAGCAAAAGTCACCACCATGGAGATAATTGCGTCTTTCCCTACCCCTTCAGTCTCTGTTGGAGAAGATAAAGCATTGATATTCTAAAAAGACCTTGATAAGAGCTTCCAAACCAAGCTTACGTCTAGTTTGATACTTATTGATTTCTATGGAAAGGTGAACTAAGGAGAAGATAATGAAAGATGTGTGGAAAAATGTAACGCATGATTAAGAAATGGAAAAGGCCAAGGGCACATAGACAGGCAAAGATGGCCTCCAGAGACCTTTCAGCTCTAGACTCAGATCTTTTGAACCTTCTCTTCAAGGTCGTGGAGCACAAAGTGCAAAATGAAAAAGACTGTAGCTAGGTTGTGTCAAACTCAAACAGATACAAATCTCTGCCAGCACACATTGACTTAGAAAACCACAAATCGGCATTATCTATGTTGTACTGTATTTTTATTTATTGGTTAGACATTTTCTAATTACATTTTAATCTGGTTTGTGATGAATTGGCCCTAGGACTTTAAGTGACATTTCTAGTGTAGTGGACGGAGTTCCAGACTTGTAGTCTGAAAGACCTGAGTTCAAATTCTGCCTCAGACACTTATTGGCAGTGTGACAATAAGTGGGCAAGTCACATAACGTTTCTCAGACTCAGTTTCCCCATCTTTTGAATGGGAATAATAATAGCCCCTACATCATAGGGTTGCTATGAGGATCAAATGAGGTAACATAAGTAAACCACTTTGTAAACCCAGAAGTACAACATAAAAATTATTACTGCTCGGGGAAGAAATTGAGCAGTGATGACATCACACAATAGCGAACCACTTTTGTCTTTATTTTCTAATCTTTGTTACAAAGGTCCTGCTGGATAATTGTAGTAATAATAGCCAGCATTTATATGGCACTTTATAGTTTCCAAAGTATTTATAAATATCCTGTTATCCTCACAATAGCCCTGGAGGTAGGCGTTATTATTATCTACATTTTACAGATAGGTAAACTGAGGCAGGAAGAGGTTAATTGGTCTAGAATCAAATAGCTCAGAAATGTCTGAAAGTAAGAAGATAGGTTTGAATTGAACTTAGATATTCCTGACTTCAAGATAAGTACTCTGTCCACTTCTCACCTTTTTGCCTAGGGGAAGATAGAACAATATATTCAGAAATGAGGGTGACATAAAAGCAAAAGAGGTGAATAAGAATTAAAAAGGAGTAGTAAAGTATAGCCCACTGTAGATTTGTTCATTAATTGATCTTTGATGATT